CAGCAGCCAGTCTTTCCAGAAAGACCCTTACAAAGATCCACAGCGGCAGCCTCAGCGCCTGCAGAAGAACTAACGGGGGGCCCACGGAGAGGAGTTCACTGAAAACTGTCGGCAGAGCCTCGCAGTAGGCCTGCCTAAAAGGGCTTCCCAAAGGCTAACTTGGGGGGCCCTAGAGGGCCCTATTGGTACACCGAACTAAGCGCTCCCCACAGCGGCGCCCTTGAGTTCTGGAAAAGCTCGTAACTCTTCAAGTGGCTTCGGACAGAGACAAGGCTCACTCTTTCCCCCAAGATCTTCCTCTGCCCGTCTCGCTGTAAGATAAGGAGCACCTTGTTGACGGGCGGTAATGCGCAGGCCACCCTTGTCGCTGGACACCGACAGTCCCCCGTGGCGTTATTCCTCGGGGGCCCCCCAGGGGGCCCCCGAGCCCCCGGCCAGCCCCCAGGCTGGCCTCCCGAAACTCCAGCCCTGCCAGGGCTGTTTGGCTGAAGAGCAGTAGGCGGCAGAAGCCTCAGAATAAACTGAGAGCACTTGGCGGGCATATTTTGCTCGTGGCCTTAAGAAACGCCCCCCGGCAAAGGCCCGCTGCCGGGCGGCGCCAGACTCAGAGAAGACAGCCGCTAGCCAGTCTGCTTTGTGCAGGCCTCTCCAGCTTTGCCCCCCAGAGGAGGGGTGAAGAGGGGCTGCAGCGGGTCGGGGCCGCTGGGGGCCTCAGCGGCAGCGGGGAAGGGGCAGGGGGTGCTGCGCGTCCGGGTGAGTCTGCAGGGCGCGGGGGCCCTCCCCGGGGCTGAGACCACGGAGTGGGGGGGGCTGGGCGGAGAAGAAAGGCCTGTGGGGTGGGCTGCTGCTGCTGCTGCTGCTGTGCCTTCGTCGCCACAGGCATCCGGGAACATGCCCTCCGCCCAGTACTGGCTCAGGCGCTGCAGCTCGATGAAGGCGCACTGCTGCGCTGCAGTCTGGGGACTGCCGTTGTCCCCCTCCGCCACCTCCAGCAGCTCGCCAGCATAGAGCAGCGAGGGGTCTCCCACGGCCTCCGCGAGCCGTTCCCGCGGGTCTGCAGCAGAAGAGAAGAGACCCTCGGAGGCCCTCGAAGCCACGCGCTGCAGATTCAAAGTGATCTCCGCCTCCAGCTGCGCCGACACCAGCTTGTGTCTCTGGCCCCGCGTGGACAACGTGGGCAAAGAGGAAACAGCCCGAGCTGCATACTTGCGGCCTGTGGGCCCCAGGGGGCCCCCCCCCGCCTGCTCCGCAGTGCGGCGGCTGTGGGCAGCAGCCAGGCACTGCAGCAGCTCCCCCTGCGTCACCGGCAGGGGCCCCGTCAGGCCCTCCTGCAGGTCCATGCGCTGCGGGATGTGCAGCTCGCGGAGACACTCCTGGAGACAACACCCACAGCAGCCATCCACAGCAGCTGACAGCCATGCAGAGGTAGAGGCGGGAGACAGGGGCTCAGAAGCAGCAGCAGAACAGGTGGAGACCGAAGCAAACGGAGACAAGAAGCAGCTAACACTGCCTCCAATGCATGCAAAGAAACTGACACAAAAGGAAACAACGAAAGGCGGCAAGCCGCCACGGCGAAACTGCAGCAGCAGCACGAGGGGGGAGCTTTAAAAACAGAGACAGAAGCAGCAGCAGAAGTGGCAGCAGCAGCTATGGGGACTTAGCGAAAAGAGCACTCACAAGAAGAGAAGCTGCAGAGACTGGATATCTGCCCTCGGGGTCCGCCTCTAGTGAAGACAAAACGGCCAAGTAGGGCATCAGCTCTGTCGGCCTCTGCGCCCTCAAGACTGCCTCCAGATGGTACTGGTAGGCCCGGTCTCGCGCTGCAGCAGCAGCAGCGCAGCGCCGCATGCACCACTGCTCAGGCAGCAGCAGCCACGCGAGACCACCACCTCAAGAAGCCCTTTCAGCAAACACCAATGCCATCAAAATGCAGAACTAAAGGACGGGGAGAAGCCCTAAACTACACAGGCAGCAGCAGCAAGGGCCAGCAGCAGCAAGTGCAGCTACAGGTGCCTCAAAGGCGAAAACTTACAGGCCCAGACCGGAGCCAGCCGGCGCAGCGAGCGCAGCTGCATTAAGATGATGCCCTTGCAGTGGAGCAAGTACTCGTGCGGTCTGCCCGTGCTGAAACTGCTACTGCTGCTGCTGCTGCTGGGCCTCCCCAGTGGGCCGCCCTCTCTCGCTGGGTCATCCAAGTATGCCGCCACCCACAAGTCCGCCAACCTGGCGTCCTCTGGCCCCAACTTTGCGAGCGCCTGAGACAAAGAAGACGCGCAAGCTCCTTTGCTGCTGCTGCTACCGCTGCCGCCCCACAGCGGAGCCAGCAGCAGATCCCTGCGCCTCAGAGTCTTGAGGACTCTGTGGTACTCGGAGAAGATGCGGCGGGCGTGTACGCTGTAGCCAGCAGCATCGAGTGCAGCAAGGCAGTCCACCATCAGCTGCTGCGCCTCTGGAGAGAGACACCGCGGCGAAACTCCCAAGTTCAGACAAACGGAGAAGATCTCCACATAAGGAGACAAATCAGCAGCATCGTTTGCCTCTATGACATTCAGAACATGGCTGGAAAAACGAACTGGCGCTGACGCCGGCGCAGCTGGGGCTGCAGCCTCGCCCGGGGCCCCGGGAGCCCCTCCTGAGGCCCCGGAGGCCCCGGGGGCCCCTCCAGAGGCCCCGGCGGCCCCTCCTAAGGCCCCGGGGGCCCCTCCTAAGGCCCCGGGGGCCCCTCCTGAGATCCCGGGGGCCCCTCCTGAGGCCCCCGCGCCCCCAGGGGCAGCTGGAGAGTTCCCTCCGTTTGCCGAGCGCAAGTCTCGGAGGCAAAGGAAGAGAGCGCGCCTGAGGCTGGAGAGAGGCACTGCGTAGTGCTGGCCTTGGCAGCCACTCTGCAGCAGCAGCAACAGCAGCAACAGCAGCAGCAGGGAAGACGCAGAAAGTTACAAAGGGTCGTCAAGGTACACAAAAGGAGCTTCCTGAACTCTACACTTTACAGCCAAACTCAGGGCAGTCCAAACGCCTACATCGAGCTGCAAAGATATAGCAGGGGAGTCCGTGGGGGAAGCAGCACCGCTGCTGCGGCCATTTCTGCTGCGGCCATTTTCTAGGGCAGCAGAATCTCCAGCGGCCGCGCTGAGGTGCTCAGAGCCTGAGACAGAGTCTTCTGGCTGCACGTTTTCTTCGCTTTCTGCTTCAGCAGCTTCCGGCTGGTGATGTTCAAGAGCTTCTGCTGCTGCTGCTGCTGCTGCTGTGGGAGTGGGGGGAGTTGCTGCTGCGGCTGCCGGCGGGGCAGCAGCAGCAGCTGCACCCGCAAGGCGCTCAGGTGCCCCCTGAAGGGACTTCCTTCTGCCAGTTCCTTCGCAGCGAGCCACTCCCCGAGGCCTTTGGGGCCTATGGGCACATGTTTCCCCTGCTGCATGCCTCTGGCGCTTTCTCGAGGGCTCTTTGGCGCAGTGCTCCAGCTGCTCCAGTTGCGGGCCCCCTGTGGGGCTCTTAGCTGGCGCAGAAACTTCTGCCGCCTTGGGGGTGCTGGGGGTCAACACGTGTAGCTTCACAGTGACCTGGAGTGCATACAAAAGGCTCAAGGTGGGGGAAATATCATGGCTCATATAAATAAGTATAGCTGCTTGTTAGTAGGGCGGGGAGCCTCTCTCTAAGGCTAAGTCGCTTCTTAAGCAACGCTCAGTACCCTTTCTGGGGATATAGCTACTGTGGCTGCCCCTGCGGCGCCTCGTGCGGCTGCTGCTAGCTGTGCTGCTGCTGCGGCTGCGCGCCAAAGGGGGCACTGCAGCCGGCGCCTCTCTGAAAAGGGAAGCCTGAGGCAGCCTGGAGGAACTCACTGGAGTCTCAATAGTGGACAGAGGCAGCAACTGCTCCATGAGAGACGACCGGCAGCTGGAGCTGGCGACGAAGGCAGGAGGCTGGGAAAGGCTGCGACCCTGTAGCTCCGTACGGAGACCCTCTAGAGCTGAGCCTACCAGAGACAGCCGGGCCTCGAAGCTGCATGGCTTAGTTAAATAAAGAAAGGAAAGGTCGCGGCGGGGTCCTGCCCGCTGGGTATGCCCTAGGAGCTGCGCAGCGCCGGAGGTCCCGTAGGGTGTTGGTGTTGAGTGACGCTAGGTTGGTGGCAAGAGCTGCGTTGGGGGAGTCAAGGGCGCGAGCGTGTGAGCTGAGCTCAAATTTAAAAGCTGCATTAAGAATGAAATTTGGCAAAGAAGGAAGACTTCAACGTCAAGCTGTCCAGCGCGAAGGCACGCTCGAGAGCCCACGAGCCCCAGCTTACTCACCCCGCGCTCTCGCAGAAGCTCATCGACGGCTCCCCTTGTACAGTTTCAGATGTAGAGAGGGGATAAAAAAGCTAATTAAACAAAGAAAGCCTCAAATGTATCTCAAATTTCGGCCTCTCCCCGTAGTAAGAGCAACAACACCAGTGCGGGGAGGCCGATGGCGGGTGAGTGACTGCCGCTGGCAGCCCCGGGTGGATAATCGATAATGCCCTACGATCCTAATACAAATCCCAGATTTGAATATTAGACCCGCAGATTAAACGTTAATGTTCCGTGTATTTTGCTGTTTCTTCCTTGGCCTGGTCCGGCGAGTTTTTATTCATCGCAAGACCATGCCAGTTCCGACTCCCCAGGTCTGACAGCCATGAGGTCGTCCTCACGAGCAGCTTCAAATCTGTATTGGTCTAGCACGTCTCCTTCAATACCAAAAGGGGAGCTTAAATATATCATGAGCTTATTCCAGAGCAATTTGCCTTGTGGCGCCGCGCAGGGGTGGCAGCCAGATGGCGCCTGACCCCAGCTCACGAAGAACGGCCACCCCGTGTGGCACCGGCGCAGCTCAGACTTCCAGCCTCCCCATTGTGTTAAAGTTTGCATTTAAACAAACACCGAATTGACTCTTTCTATAGCATTAGTTTCGCTTCAAATTTCCCGCCAAGCACTAGTTCGAGCAAAAACGCCTAAACTCAATGTTTCACTTCGAACCGTTTCCACTTTTAGCTGCACTGACCTTCTCGACTGCAGACTTCGCACCAGCCCGCCAAAATACAGTGAGCTGCGATGCAACTATTGGTGTTAACTTTGGCGATGCGTCCCAGGCATCTACTTTTGTAGCCAAATACAAATTAGCTCTCGACGCACCGTCTGAGCCTCTTGTCAGCTTCCGGCTGCAGCTGCAAATGAACGCCCTGGTTCGAAACCAGCAACAATTTCCACGCCGCAATTCTGCACGACAAGCTTTCCTCAAAAAGGCAAGCTGCTGGCCCTGTTCTAACGGCCCGAATACCGGGACGGAATGCCAGCTGGCGGGATCCAACTTAAGGCGTCAGCAGGCATGCGCCTGCACAGAGGACAGAATCGAAGATTGCACTATATTACAAAGAAAGAAGCTGGTGCTATATGTATGTCAGTACATATATTATATTGATACAATAAAGCAAATGCGCATTTCCATCAGCTGAGGACTCAATGCGCTGTGGGCGCCACATTGTATGGAGCTGCTGCCTCCATTCGCAGCACCCTGCTGAGAAACGTCTAACGCAATTAGCTCCAGCTCTCTCTATGGTTTGGAACTGTATGCGTTGGTTTTCCGGGCTTTCCTCATGCCCGGGCGCATAGCGAGTACTCTCACCCACCTGTAGTCGCGGGGGTCAAGGCTCCAGCAGATGGAGCCGTCCTCAGCTTCATACTCAAAAGGCTGCAGGTCCGACAGGGCTAATTCTGAGCCTGACTGGCATTGTGCTACAGCCTGCTGCTGCTGCTGCTGCTGCTGCTGCAGCGGCGGCTGCCGAGGCGCGTGTCGCTGTGGGTTGTCCGCACTGCCTTGCATCTGCAGAGCACTGAGCGCTTGCTCGAGTTCCTGCAGCTGCTGATTGAGCTGGCTCATCTGCTTGTACTGCTGCTGCAGCACTACTTTTTGTCGCTGCAGCAGCTGCTGGCAGGAAGTCACGACAGCAGCAGACGGCGCCTGGCCCGCGCTCGCGCCCCCCGCTTGCTGCCCACTGCTTCTCTCCCCAAGTGCTGCACCCTCTGCCTCTACTTGCCCTGTCCAGCCATTTTCGCAAAGCTGTGACTGGCTTCTCCGCAGCCGCAGCGCCGGCCGGGGCCCTGGCCCTGTCACTGGGATCCCCCCCCAGTTGGACTTGCCTGGCCGCCGGGGCCCACAGCCCGCGGAGGCTTCCGTGGAGTGCCCGCGGCGGCTGGCTGGCGAATTGCCTGCAGGCCAAACGCACCGCAGCAGCAACCCCTAGCTCTGCCGCTCCTTTGCAGGTACAGCACGTGCTAGGAGGCCTGTTTTCTATGTAAACCCTGCAGGCGTGTGGGGATTTGTAGGAAGCCCCGCTGCAGCTCTTCACCCGACAAATTGATAGAAAAACATCCATTTAGGTTGAAAAATCAAAAGGGCACACACTAAAAGATTCTGATCTCACTCCGGCAGTCTTGCTCTGCACCGGGCTCAGCCGTAGCTCGTTTTGGCCGCGGCTGTCGGCGCCGCCAAGTGGCTGTTGTTGCTGCCGTGGCGCTGAGCTCCTCCCTGTTACTCGGCAGAGCCCGAAACTGCTGCTGCTGCTGCTGCTGCCATTGCCGCAGCTGCTGCTGCTGCTGGGAAAGGCTTTGGCCTCCTGCTGCCTGGGTGCAGTGCCCGGGCACTACGTCACGCCCAGAAGCACATGTGGGGTCCGTAGAGCGCACAAGGGCCTCAGTGAACAGCCCAGGGCTCCCGGGGCCCCACCTCGCTGCTGCAGGGGCCCACGCTGTTCGCTGCAGCTCCCTTCCGCTGTAGCAGCCCTGCTGCGCCTCCCGAGCTGCAGAAGGCACAGAAATGTATTCGCCTGAAAAGTGGACAACGGGGCGCGCAAAGGCCTCTTTGGTCTCCGTCACCCAATCTGCAACGTCCACAGAGTACCCCGGAGGCCTGCAGCAGCGACAGTAAAGAGACAGTAACGCGAAGAAATTAACTAATTGAAATAAATGCGAAGTAGAAATGACAGGGGCCTGTGGGCCTGTTGGCTCATGGGCAGTGTGGCATTGCTGCTTCAGCGGGGGACGACCATTCCAGCTTGCCAAAATGAAGAAGCTCACAGAGGCTACTGACCAGTTCATGATAGCCTTGACGGCGTCTGCAGCAAATAACTGCCGCTCCTCATCGGCACCTAGCACTGCCATGGCGCAGCTGCTGCCGGGAAACTAGGCCGAGACCTGGTTGCTGCGCTTTATCCACCGCCCTGTGAGGCCCCACGCCTGCTACGATGGCGTACGTGGATACAGCTTCTTACAGCACAACAAAGCAGACTGACAGCTGCCCATGCCGCTGCTGCTTGTGTGCCAATCCGCAGTAGTGAGGGCCTAGGAGCTGAAGATACTCATGAGACCAGTATTAGTGAAGAGAAAACTGGGCATTTCACGTCTCTGGCCTCCGCATCGCTCCGCCGGTGGCCAGCTCATGCTCTACAGACGCCGGCTACTGAGGGCCATCCGCCAGTGCTGTTTGGTGGTTCCGCCCACGATTACAAAGCCTTCAAAAGTTCACTTTCAGCGTACAGCAAAGTAAATTACATTTAAATTGTCTTCTGTCACTGAAGCTGCTCCTAATGGGCCGTTTCCTCTGATGGACCAGTGGCACATGCGTCGGCCGCATGCACAGGAGCAATCACGTCCGTCTGGGGAGGAAAGTAATGTTTCCGTGATCCCAAAATAAATTATTGACTCAAAATAACGTACTTAATTGAAACGAAGTAGTAAACGCTCTGCATGCAGAGGCGGCAACGAAAAAACTGAAGTGCGGGCAGTGACCGGCTGCGCAGCCACTGCAGGCAGCAGCGTGGCGACAGAACGACTACTTGCCTCTATATTTTTCCCTAGTTTAAATTGTAGACTTTTAACTTTTGGATTAAAACGAAATCTGGATCTGCTTCGAACAATTGAGCCTTTCTTTGGCCTCTGTGCTCTATGTCCTCGTGCGCCTGCAGAGTACTAGGCGCTTCCAAAAGTGGCTAGACCCACCTGGTCACAGTAATAAGCAAATAATGGGCAGACAACGAACTGATCTACCTACCCACCACAGTTCGGCTTCTGCCTTGGCCTGAGTCTCGTATCTCCTCAAATTTGTGCTGTGCTGTCTCTCAAAAAGCGGCGGGTGGCGAACTGCTGCTGGCTTGCTTGCAGCAGCACGCTTTTACAACTAGAGGATGTCGCATCACGCGCTTGCTTCAATAGCACATCTATGCCAAACATGACCATGATCGGCTCTGTGCCCAGCGACAGCTAGCTAGCTAGCGTCCAGCTGTATTTAGCAATAGCTACCCGCCGCCAAGGGCCACTTTGCTGTGCGCGCAGTTAGCTACAGCCACCTGCGCCTGGTAGCCACCCTGACTGCAGCAGCAATCAGCCTTCCTGCTGCTGCTGCCTGTTTGCCAGGCTTATGGACCACCAGCAGGAATGGCAGCACATGCGGCTTCCGTCCCTTAGGCTTTAGTGCGGTTCTGTAAAGCTCAGCAACTTGTGAAAAAGGAAATAGTTGTCAATTTTGTTCAGTAAAGCACCTTCTTTTGCAATGGCATCCTGATTCCCCTGGTGGTCCGTACGGAATGGGGAGGCAAGCGGGGGCTTGCAGTGAATAAAACACCTGTTCCCTCAGATGAAATCTCAGCGGAAAAAACGCAGTGCGTGGATGTACGGACCTACCTCAATAATCCTAACAGCGATCATACACAGAAAGTGACAGTCTACTTACCAAGCGGCCATTTGCACTTAGGCTCACGAAAGGTTTCAGTTGCCAGCCTAGTGCTTGGGCAATAGATACTGTTGTTTCTTCTTTACCACTGAGTCTGTTGATCGTTGCCTCCCGAAGCCTCTGCAGCCAGCCAAGTAGCTTTCAACTCGCTAAGACTTAGCTGAATCCGGCACTCCTCTGCTTCCTGGTTTGCTTTTTTTTGGGGGCTCATTCTGCCTTGGATTTCTAATAGAATTCGAGTGATTTTGTTGTACCGGGGTTAGGAATCTAAGGTGACTCGATAAGGCAGAGAAACTTGTTCCCTCCAATAAGTCTGTTGTTGTTGGATATCTGTTGTTGGCCTCTCGCTGCCCCTTACTTCCCTCCTTCCTGTTCACTCGTTTTACTCGATAATCACCACTTTTACCAAGTCAATAACTCGTTTGTGTTCGTGGGTGCTGAAAGCCGGTGCCAAAAGGAGAGGCCCGAAAATGCAGCAGGGCGATAAAGATTGCAGTATTTAACAAATGTCACTGTAGGCGTTGCTGCAGCCGTCCTTGTATCTGTTCGGTGGAGCTTCTTCAGAAGCACTTTGTGAAGGGGCTGTGCAGTCTAGGGTTTGTGGGGTACAGATACCGCAGCAGAGAGGAGCCGCCACCATTTCGCAAGTAGAGCCCGCGATTGAATTTCTTCTATTGTGCATTGGTGTGCACTTTTGCAATTGTATTTGTTTTCTCTGCATTCAAAGTTGAGCAGCTGGTTGATTAGGGCCGAAGCACACAAGAACGCAGAAGGCAAATCTGGGGGCCGATGTGAGGCCTCAAACTACTGCACCGTAGAGGCATTCTTCAGAGAAGGAGCCTCAGCTGAACATTAAATCCGAAATTGTTAACTCTAAACTGCTAGGTGTAAACCGCAATAGCGTCGGACGTTTGGGGCTTGTCGGCAGCGGAGGGCCTTATGAGACCGTGTAGGGGCTTGAGACTGCTGGGTGTCTTTGGCTGTTTGGAAGAGCCGCTGCTGTTTCCAGGAGTAGAATGAAAGATAATGAATGACCGTTGCTGAAACAAATGCACATCTCAATTAGGAGGCCAAGGATTTAGAAAAGCGTTGCTGTTGTGTTGCTGTGCTCCAGTGAGGCTCTTTGCCTGCGTGTTTCCCACTACGCGGCATATTTGTCTTACCAGGTGCACCGCTAGCTGGCTTTATTTGCTGCTATTAGCATAGATATATATTTTTCTTTCACTGTGTAAGCTTGTCTATTTCCATATTCTGCTTCTTCTGTCTCGGGTTTGCCGATTCGGCGTGGTTGAGGAACCCCCCATTCCAACTGGTTGTCCGCCTCTGGCTTCCACATCTGCTTCTCATGGGCTGTTTTTCAAACTCCCTTGCTCTCCCACAGCCCTGCTGCTCCTGCTAGCGGCTTCGGCCTCTGTTATTGCTGCAGCGTTCCCCCCCTTCCTCGCACTGCTTCCTCCCTTCGTCTCGTTACCTCTGCCCGTTTCCACAACGGCTGCTGGTTTTTGTGAGCGTCTGCCGCAGTCCCTCGACACCGACAGAAATGGGCTGGAGAGGCAACGCAGCGCTCGCGGCCTTCGCGGCCTATTGCGTCTACACCGCCTGGGACTTGTACAGAGCCACTTCGGCGCCTGTGGCGGAGGGCAGGGTCTCGCGATCTCTGGAGGGTCTGGCGAAGTCTGATCTGCAGCAGATCCCCGATGTTCTCGTCAACAAAATAGACGTGAGTACAAATTAGCTGGAACGGCAGCAGATACAGGAAGACTGGGAGCCTGAAGCTGAAGTCCACCTTGGCGGGTGCTGAGAACTCAGTTTGAAGTTCGTTGCAGAAAGGCAGAGCTGTTGCCAGAGCCACTGCCTATGCGTACCGTCCATCGTCTATTTGTTGTGGGTGGGATTGGCCCCGGGTTTCGTTGGCCAGTTTCTTGCGCCTGCTGCAACAGCATCAAGCTGCTGCTGCTGCGTGTGGCTCTGTGTGTGCGGTTTGGCCCAGGCGGGCTCGCTGCTTACCTACGACATTGTACTTTCGCCGTACCCAGCGCTGCCGCCGCTGGAGCGGCTGCGGCAGCACCTCGTGTGGTCGCTGCAGGAGAAGAAGACGCTGCCGGAGGAGTTCAGCTTGGCGGGCTCTGCGCGACTGAAGCCGTACGCGTTTGAAGAAGACGAAGACGAGACTGCAGCTGATGAGGCTGAGGCTGGGGCTCAGGCCGCGGCTGGGGCTGCGGCCGAGGCTGGGACGCAGCAGCGGGCCAGTGGGGCGGCAGCCCCTTGGGAGGCAGAGCCCAAACAAGAGGCTCTGGGGGAAACATTTTGGAAATATTTCAAGAGGGCAGGCCGTTTGTGGAAGGCCTGGAGGAATTACCTCGACGTCTCCGCCGGAAACGTCGCTACGCTCACCGCCACGGTTCCTCCCAATTACAGGTCACCTGCTCATTTGCAGCCACTGGCTCCTTAGGGCGATTCTTTATTCTTTCCAGGCTCGTGTCTTTTTGCCACTTATATCCTCCCTGAGCCCCCTTGTCTCCATTTATCGGCCTGCAGCCCCATTTTCCTGTACTTTTTCGCTGCCGCCGTACTGCGCCTCTTACCTCTTGTCTTTTATTTCATCCCTTCACAGTTTTCCTGTTTCAGCCTTGCATGGCATTGTCACGACCGCCTTCATCTGTTCGTTGTGCGCTATTTCGCTTGCCGTCTATTTACCTTTCCTGTTCTCTTTTGACTGTCCCTGTTCTGCTTCCGCTTTCCTCTAGCCTCCGGCCCTCTGGTCTTCTTGCTCTTTGCTGACTCTGTTGTATCTTGCATGCACAAGCCTCCGCCTTGTCCTCAGATGCGTATTGCCTTTCCGATCCATTACGGCCCGTTTTTTTGGTCGACATGTGTTTGTTACCCAGTTTGTTCTTGCCCAATTAGTCTTCCTGTCTCATGGCTCCTGCCCTAGTGCATGCATCTGTTTTTATCGTTTCTGCCCATTTGTGGTTTTTCCCTCTCCGCCTCTCACTGCTTTTTCTTCCCTGGCCCCTGGTGGTCTTCTTCTATGCAGAGTTTGCCTTTCTTTGGCCCTCTTTCTTGTTCCTGCCCTACTGCTGTTTCGCTTCCTGTCACGTTACACTTCTGCTTTCCTGCTGTGGCCTGTTTAGATGTGCCTTTCTGTCTAGCAAACCCTAATGCGTAAACCCTAAAGCATAAGTATTTTGCTTCAGACACGGAAACCGGACCCTCTACCTTCACGTGTATGTTTCGGATGAAGAAGGCAATGAGTTGCCCATACATCAAGTCCGCCGCCTCACAACGCACATGGTGCCCGGTGAGGCTAGTCTACGTTTTAAACCTGAGAAACGCAACCCTAAATCACAGGGCTTCCACGGCTCGGGGGAGCGCTTCGTAGCATTTTGCTTCCACTGACTTTCTGTTCTCTTTACAGAAAAGCACAAAGTAA